GTATTTACCCAGCATTCCTTGCTGAGAAATCTTGCAGAAATGATGTTTTTGTGTGTTTATGGCTGTTAAAGAAGTTTAGGAGAGTAAAAATTAGTTGTTCTGGTTGTTTTCTTGTTCAGTTTTATCAAGTTGTTCAACTTTAAGTTTGTGTTATTGGCCAAAAATCGACACCATAAGTGAGAGGTATATCCTGGTGTGTGAAGGGTGACTCCATTATACTTCTCTACTAACTGCTGAGCAGTGTTAATGTGACACTACAAAGAGTTTGATGTTAACTCTGAGTGTTAAATTTACACTCAAATATATGGTGTATTGACACCTTGTGGTGTCTGTTAACCTTTTTAACGCCACAATTTCCTTTGTTAATGATCATAGTAATACACTGGTGTTACTTTTAACACTTGATTTTAACACTGTTGAAATGTTAATGTCACACCCAGTATTGTTGAATATTAAACACTGGTTTGTGTTAAAAAAAAAAAGGGTGTTAAAATTTAACACTTTCACAAATGTTATTTTAACACCAGTGAGTGTGGACACGTATAGACACTTTGTTGGTGTTGAAATTAACACTGTGGGTGTTAAATTAACACTGGCATTTTACTGTCCCAAGCCTGTATTCTTTCTTGTACATATGTACATATAAACAAGAAATAAAAAAAAGGAATAAAAGAAGAGTGGTAAAGGTATTATTATTGTGGAGCTATGTGTAGTTTCTCATATGGGCTCAAAAAATGGGTACTCATGGGCATTCATAAACAAACAAAGTAGAACCACTTCAGAAACATCCCAGTAATTTGCTAAAAGCAACATGTGTCCTGTCAGACTGTAGGGAGTGTGCTTCCATATTCTTCATTTCCCAGGAACTACCCTGACTCCCACCACCGTGCACACTCAGCCTCCCCTTCTTCTCACTGAAATGAACTTGTGATGAGGCACACAGCGCTCAGTGTTGGTTTAACTGTGCTAATGTTTGCGTACCTTCCAGGGACTCGGCAGCCAAGCCCGACGCTTCGGCTCGTTCTGTGAAAGAGGGGCTTCCTGCGACATCCTCGGCTGCTTCAGGAGACCCCGACAAAGACGGCATCGAGGAACGCTCCGACTCAAGGGACGCCTCCGAAGGTACACGGCTAACTTACACTGACAGTAAACTGATGAATCTTATATTATAAGTAAGGGGTTCGATTTCAGGCCAGGAAGATTAAAGCTACAGTGAGCTGGTGATGGGATTCAGGCCCATTCCATCTGTGTATTATAGTGTTCACACTGTGGACAGATCTGATAGAAAACCAATTGGGCCTCTAGAGTTGCATAAACAATAATGTAGCCTCACTATATTGGCAGTGGCAGCATAAATTGTGTACCTGTATTTTATTATTACTACACATCGCAAGTCCTGACCTTGATCAAAGGCGGCAACACCATCGTAATACAAATCTATGGCGATTGGATGACTTATTGATTGCTACAGCTGCCCATAAGGACATAATCACCATATCCACACCTACACACCCCATTCAAGCACAGAACAAGGCAACACACACCGACTCGAATACACATGTGCTCTGCTGTGATTTGATTTCTACACAGACATGACATGAATCCAATTAATTCAGTACAAGGATCAATAGAGATCCATTTCCGTGGGGAAAATTGCTTTGGGATTTTCACTCAGTCAGCAGCGCGGCTGATATTTGAAAGTGGTTTAAAAATGCGAGATGTAAAGGGGCTCTGCAGWGCAGCACAGCATTTTTCATGTCCCAATTTTCTGATATATTTTCACACGCGGACCACCTCATTGTAGTTTCACTGAGTAACGGAACAATTTGACACCTTCCTTCTTTATTATCATTATATATGAAACAGAAAGAGGGGCCGGTAAAAGTTTGCCTCTGCTCATCGTAATGAGAAATGTTTTCTCCTGTTTTTAATGTTTTTATCTGCTCTGCCTGGTCCTTTCAGCCTTCAAATCCTTCAGCATGGATTTTGTATATTAGTTCCCTGCCAGGTTGTGCAAAGTTTTACAAACTTTTCAGTTTTTCTTATTTACTCAATTATACTTTATAGAGAAGCAGATTAATTTGTTTTACGCCATTATTTGATTAAAAACCCACCATCATTATTGAAATACCTTGAAACTGATGAAAGTAAACTTCTGAGAAAAATTTTGATTCAACAGAATTATTATTTTTAAAACTAACTAATGAAACAGGCCATGAGGAAAGCACAACCTTTTGAGGCAATGGCAGCATCAAGTGATTTCTGTAACTCTATGAAACTTTTGCACCGGGAACCTCCAGCTGTTTGCAGATTAAATACACCTGAGATGCTAATTAAAGGGGCAATATCATGTAAAATCAACTTTTTTGAATTTTATATCATGTTATAATGTTATACTC